ATGCGAAATTGGAAGCAGAAACTGAGGAACCATGGCCTTCATGTAGGCAAAGAAGAGCGATTGACAAACGTCCGCTTTGCTGATGATATTATGTTATATGCAAAATCTTGCAGTGAATTGATGCAAATGCTGGAAAGTCTGATCTTGGAGCTGGGCGCCATTGGTTTGCAGTTGAATTCGCGGAAAACAAAGATTTTGACAACCGCTTCGCTAGCGAGCCCTACTTTCTTGGAAGTTGCTGGCAGTTTTGTGGAAGTGTTGTGGGGCGATCGCTCTCACAGCTACTTGGGGAAATTGCTTTGCGGAGACCTGTCCAAACGCAGCTCAGTGGAACTGCGCCACCGTATCCAAGCCGCATGGGCCAAATTCCGAAGCCACAAGCAAGTGCTTTGCAACCCGCATATTTCTTTGAAGTTGAGACTTCAGTACTTTGAGGCCACCATCACGCCAAGTGTACTTTATGGTTTAACAACACTACCGCTTACACAAAGCCAGCTGGACAGATTAGACGCTGCTCAGCGTCGCATGTTGCGATCTATTGTGGGATGGGTCCGTATTGAGGGTGAAGACTGGCGTGACACAATGCACAGAATGAAATTACGACTGCAACACGCACTGGCGATGCATCCTTTGAGGCCATGGACGCAGCAACTATTTACCCGGCAATACAGGTTTGCTTCCAAGATATCTCGTCGAGATGATGCTTGGCCATGGGCAGTCGTTACATGGATTCCAGGTGATGGTTGGACCCATAATTTCCTGAGAGCGCCAAGAAGGAAACTAGGCCGCCCGCCGAAAAGGTGGGACGATAATTTGAGGACATTTGCACTTGAACATTTGCAAGGCAGGACGTGGATGGTGGCAGCTCGGTCAAGGCAATGGCTTGACAACGAGCATCTTTTTGTACAGTTTTGCCAAGCTACATGACTGCCTCGTGTGTTCCCTGTGTCCTTCATGGACCGTAGTCTCCTGACTCGAACGGGGCAAAGGCAAAAAAGGCCTTTTTCCGTCCAGCGGCAGTGAGACCCAGGGAACCCTCCGCGCGCGCCGAAGTGGCGACTAGCCGCGCAAAGGCAGAAGGCTGGGCATCGGCGAGGTCGGGCTCGCCTTGCGCAGCCGGCCGCGCGCGGGAAAGCCAACGCCCTCCGAGCAGAGTGGAAGCGAGGGCGCGTCTTCCCAAGCGGTGAGACAAGTGCTTATGGAGGAGTCCCGGGCACTAGGACGCAGGCAAAGTTGGGGAGTGGCGTGGGCCGGCACTAAAGCCCGCGAAGCAAAAACACAAAACAAGAATCCAGGAGCTACCACTGTGTACATCTCGAGATGGCGGTTCAGGTAGGCCGCTAGTGTCTTGGCAGCTTTCAAATCGCATTTGTTCTCAAGCTGGATGACTTTTCAGTCCGCGCAAGGGCAAGCGCTGCGATCGGCTGGCGCAGCCTCCTCCGAAAGTGGCATCATTTCCAGGAGGTTAAGTTTGCGGCTTGGCGCCTTGGACCTTTCTCCGTTGCCATTTTAGAAGGGAAATTCTGTTGGCTGGCTTAGTCACCGCCCAGAACAAGCTGACCCTGGACCTGCTCACGGACTCAGACTGGGCCGGATGTCTTGAGACGAGACGCTGCATCGCCGTGCTGGGAGGAGCTGAAGCGGCACAGACGCAGCCGGAACTCCCAGCAAACAGCTCACCTGATGTTGAGTTGCGTGGCATGAGCAGGGGGGCACGAAGCTATCTTCATACAGGAGCTGGCCACGATCGACTTCGAGCTGAGGGTCAAAAAGCTTAAGCTCTGGACCGATTCGAGATCAGCTTACCGTTGGAAAAGTTTAGGGCACGTGGAACCCGGCCAACTTCCTAACGAAGCACGCTACGGCATAGAGATGCGGGAGGCCCTGCCCTCGCTGAGAATTCTGGAGAGCTTTGACCCCACCCAATTCCAGCACATCAACGTCAAAGTGCCCACGGTAAAGCGGCAGCCTTGGAAGCCAGGTTTCCCTGCTGAGCTTGAGGACGCCCAGGCATTGGGACCATCCGCCTTGTGCACAAGCGCGCAGCCGGAGGGAAGCAAAGGCCAAACCAAACAAAGGTCCGCGGCCGCCCCCGGCAAGCCCGAGACGTGAGGGCAATCTCGCTTTCGAGCGGGAAGCCCTGCCCTCGGACGGAGGGCAAATAGCTGAATCTGTGTGCGCAAAGAGCAGTTCACATGCCGCCATAAAAAGGGGTAGCAAATTTCCATGAATCTTAGGACATGTAAAGATGTAAGGATCGTCACGCAAGATGTCAATTGGCAGAGGTTTGTGCATGCTTTCGCACACGGTTAAGCCCCTCTAGTGCCCGTAGTGCCTTGTGTACTCTAGAAGGAAAAGGCGCCCAATACGCGATGCTGCCTGCGCCCTCCTCCAGGTTTTGTAGAAAATCCATACGGACACGGATTCAGCCGTTGCACAGGACCACTGGCGGTAGCAGACCGCCTGGAACATGAACGCACCACGTAACGTTACAGTGTCCAACAAGCTCAATGCGCGGGGGCGGGCTGCTCCAACACAACTGGCATTGCAAGGTCATCCCTGCAAGTCTCGGACGGCCGGCGCTCAGCGTCCGGACGCGCAGCAGGCCAGCCATGAGGCCAGCTGGTGACCAACAGTTGCCAACAACAGTCGCCCGCTCGGCTCGCCGGTCCGCGCTGTGCACGGCAGAGAGTGGTGCGGCTTCTGGCCGAAGCCGTCGCCTCGGCAAGGCCGGCAGGGGCGGAGAAGTCCCGCCGCCCAAATTTGTGCAGCGCGCGCTGCGAAAAGACATGCAACTGGGCGCGCAACAGGCCAACGCTCGGCTGAGCACTGGGCAGCTGCGGGGCTGGCTCGCAGGTTCGGCACAAACATGGCGGTGGGGAGTGATGGAGGCCGAACGTGATCTTGGAGCAAGCGGCGCGGGTGTGCCAGGAGCCGGAGCCTGAGTCGCGACTACGGTTTCTTGCGCAAAAAATGTTGAAAACGGGTTTCCCAGCAGCTTCGGCGGCGGCTGACGCTGAAGTCACGCTCGTTAGCCCAGTGCCCCCCGGGAGCCCCATAAGGGGTGTGCTGCGCCGGCTAGTGATGCAGCCGAACTCTTGCCCAGCAAATGGCGCTGCACCTTCAAGACACGTGCTCAATTGGCGTGTGGCCACTGAGGCCGACCTTTGCCGCCACAGCGCCGCCCGTCAGGTTCTTCGAACACGTCTCCGGGTGAGCGTGTTGCCCCTTGTGTCGCACGAGCGCCTCGCCATGCTGCTGCCGCGCGTGCGGAAGTTGTACCGGTGACAGTGGCGTGGCGCATGTCATCGAGCAAGGCGAACAGGGAGGAACAGGCGGACAACTAGCTCACTTGCCCTTGCGCAGCACCCTGCCTTGCGGGCGACGATGCAAGTCCTGCTCCAGGAGAGGCCTTTCTCGCATTTGCAAACGCATGGCGACATCCAGGTCAACTTGGGAATGCCGGCGGCGTGCTGCCGCCAGCCATTTCGGAACGCTGAAGCGGCGAACGATTTTCAGCTCGAAGCCAGAGAGCGAAACACAACAGCGCTGACGGTCACAGGAGTGTCCAATGAATGACCTCACAGTGGTTTGAAGGGACCCAGTCGAGTTTGTTGCGAGCCGACAAGTTCGACTTAGGATCAGACCACACGCTCAGCATAATTCCACAAATGATGGGGGCACTGCGTTTCTGTCTGCTGGCGCTTGCGATCTCCATAGGAGTTCGCTTTGCCCTGATTCTGACCCATTGAACGGGGACATTGCCACCTACAGATTCTACAGTTGTCCATGAAATGAGACTTGGATCAGGTAAGGATCAACCAAAAAAGTCATGGCTTTCGCACGGCAAGGCAACATGACATTGATTACCACTCTGGTGGCCAGAGCCCTGTCTTCAGCAAACCACCAAGGGTGATTGCAACAGGAAGCAGCAGTGAGTGCTTTCGACGCAACGACTCAAGGTCGAGCAATCGATCCGGCCAAAGGTCGATGGGTTCCAACGACGGCTTCGAGGCCTCAACGCTCCCAATGTGGACGTGCGTGCCCTCACGCGCACGCGCGTGGTGTGCGCACCACGGTGTAGGGTGTGTTTGTGCGTTTGTGCGTTTGTGCGTTTGTGTGGTGTGGGGTGTGTGGTTGTGTGGTTGCTTGCTTGCTGGCTCGCTGGCTCGCTTGCTCGCTTGCTTGCTTGCTTACTTGCTTACTTGTGTGCGTGTGCGTGTGCTCCTGAAGCCCCTCTCTAACAAGCACTGGCTTCGCAGTGTTTGGATTGATTGTCTCGCAAAATGCGTAAACGTAAACATGTCGCATTGCGCTTTTGTTTTATCGTTGCAGCTGGCACCTGACTTCTGCGGGTCTGGAGCCTGACGGCATGTCTGTTCAGTGCCTGGTGCAAGATGCGTCCTGAGGCAATTTGCTGCCATTCGCAGAGCTTCACGCTTCTGATGGAGCGAGTGAACAGTGGCTAACTTAAGAATCTGACGCGGACCGCTCTAACTCCCGGCATAAAGCCAGGTGTAACACACCTAAGTCACCTCACGTCGCGCCTGGCTGCTCGTCTGCCATCCACGACTGCAGGCCGTCACCCCCGTAGGGGGAGGCACCTGCAAAGTTCATGAGGTCCTTTGCCATGGCGATTCTGCGCTGAGGCTTTTGGTCTGAGTCTGTTCCCCGCTCTCCGTGGCTACGCGACAAGATGCGCACTGAATCTGTGAAGCAACCAAGGGGCAGCTGTGTTGGATGCCGGCAGGCGAATTGACAACTCCCATAAGACCACCGTGACTCTTGAACACTAAGCATGCACTCGATGAGGTCCTGTCCCTTCTGACGCACGTCCAGCGCAACCAAGCGATCGTGGCAAGTGCAGAGATGCCGGGCCCTTCTTTTCCGTCCGCGCTAGGGGCCAAGTGGCACGTCCACCCACATCTCAAACACAAACGTCCGACATGCTACCAGATTCACCGATTCACTCATTGCAAAAAGTGGCAGGTAGACTCTTTTGCAATAGGCACAAGAATGGGTGGCCCGCACCTGGGACGATGCACGCATGCACGCCTGCGAAGCTTGTCGGGGCTGGAGCCGTCCGTGTTTACCACTCGGCCAATATGCACAATTCGCCCAATTCGAACGGCAGCCTTCGAGTTGGCGAGAGGCTGCACATGGTGCTTTCCGGGCATTCTAAGTGAGTCTTAGGACCCAAACCTCGGGACTGCATGTCGAATGTATCCAATTTGGAGCCGATCTTGGAATGCCTGGGAAGGAAGCTCCCAGACTTCCCAGACTCGGTTGCCTTTAAGGCAAGCAGAAGGCGACAAGCCGCAAGCAGCCTGACCGATCTTTAAAAGTCTCTTGTTGAGGGTGTCCTTGTTTGCAGAAAAGGCATGCCCAAATAAGATCTAAGACAAATCCACCATCGGAGCCAAGGTCGGCCTTTGGCCTTTCATCCTTCCACGCTCTTGCGGGTCAGCTGCCTCACCTGAAGCCCGAGCGAGCCAGGTCCAGGTGACCCCCTCAGGATCAAACCGTGAGGGTTTGTAGACCAGACAAAGGAGAGACCAACCAAGAGAAAAAGGATGGAATGGAGATTTGCTTTGGAGGTTTGGGGCTTCCCTTATTTGGAGACAGGCCCAACTGGCCTGGAACCGTAAGAGACAAGAGCGACATGGAGCGGCTCCGCTGTGAGCACAGAAACCCCTGGTTGCCCTAGCCAGCGGGAGTTCCCCCCTTTGTAGGTGTCCTTTGACTACTGAGAAGCACGGAGAGATGCCAAAGGGCAAAGGCAAACGAAAGCACAACCCTGCAGATCAACACATGAACGCAGAAAGGGGAGCCAACATAAGACTCGATGAGCCTTTGAACTCCCGGCGAACAAACAGTGAACACACTCAAATGCAAACGAAACGGCAGGAACCTCAATCCAAGCAACAAGATTCGGGAATAGCAGAATGGTGAAGGTGAAACAAACTTAAGTCTGATCGCAGATGTCATAAGAGCAACCCAGGACAATGCATCAAGACAGGCATGAAAAACAATGTGAGATCGAGCGACAAATGCCGGCAAAAAAGGTGCACCATAAACCAAGAGAAGATAAGGAGTAAGAAAGCGGCGTGGCTGGCTCAGAAGCAGGAGACCCCAAAATGCAACGACATGCTAGACACACACACACACACATATGCGCAGATATAGAAACAAACAAACAAACAAACAAGCACGCAAGCAACCAACCAACCAACCAACCAACCAAACAAACAAACAAACAAACAAACACCCATTAAAAGTGACATCCTAATATGTAGCCTATACATGGCGTTCAAAGGGCTTCCCACCCCCACCCAAAAAGAAGGAATGACAACCCTTTGCACTGCAACCACGCTTTTTTGGGATCGAGTGTCTCTCTCTCTCTCTCTCTTTGCCATGATGAACACCATGAAAATTCCGCCAAAAGGATATGCGGATCAGGACCAGTCCCTCTGCTCTCGCGTGTCTCTCGTGCGCCTTCTTCTTCCAGCCCTCGAAGTCCTCGGAATGATCCGAAAGGCAAAAAACAACTCCAAAAGGCTCAAAGACCAAAACGGAGCAGAACGCAGCAAAACGGAGCTGAGCAAAACGGAAAGGCCCAAAATGAGCCAAGTCCCAGCCATGCGTCGTTCTTCATGTGCACCGCCGCATCAATGTTGGCCGGGGAGTTCAGGTTCGGGTCCACCAGCATCGAGATCACCTCTCCCCGAAGGCCAAAGCACAGAAAGGCGAGGCGCAAAAACTGCCTTGGAAGGGATTGTCAAATCTGCTACCCAAATTTAAACCAAACACCAAGACTCAAAAAGACCACCCAAGCGTTGCTAATTTTGCGCGTTGCTCGCATGTCATGTCCGCACATTCAACCTGACACTGTTCCGCCAAAAAAGACCCGACCCAAGCGCATCGCATTGGGACTTTTGAGTCCAATCATTGGGAGGGGCGGGCGATTTGGTGGGCTTGGGTACTGTTGAACCCCTGCCGATTCCGGGTTCCTGGCGCTGATGAGGATGCTGTGCACCCCAAGGATGGGGCGCCAGCGCTCATCCGCAGTCTCCTGGTCGTTGAACCGGTCCGTGCCAGGCGGGTGCAAAATCGAGATGCACACCTGGCACTTCACTGCAAGCATGGGGGAAAGGAGGTTGCAGGGCAAGGGATGTTTGGGGGGCGCATTTTAGAGGGCAAGCTTGAGGATAGTCACTCTAAGGTACCCAAACCCCAAACCTGCACCAGAAAACAAACCAAAGTAGCAGCATCCATCCCGAATGTTGGGAAGTTAGATTTGTTCATTGGCATTCCTGGACAAAAAGCTGCACGTGATTTTTAGGAGATCCTTCTGTGGCCCAAATGGGGGTTTCCTGCTTTGAAGGGGGCAAGTACTCCGTTTCTTTGCGGCATTCTCGGGGGCTTCGAAACTTGAAATGGCGCCCGAACATGCTGAATTGCCAAGCAAGAAAACGGCCTCCGCCAACAAGGCCAGGATGGCTCGCCCGTCGGGATAGATGTTGGGATGCCACATTTCGGTCTCAAACCTCAGGCGGCAGTGCCTGACTCGAACAAAGTGAATGCACTGGGTTGTGGCAATAATCCCACTTCCGTGATACCAATGGGCCTTCCAAATCTCGAAATGACGACTTCTGCATTTTCGAGGGTGGCCCAAAACTGAGGAATCGCACACTGCGCGCCCTGCCGCATCTCCGGTGGGTTGTTGGGGAAGTCCCCTGGGAACTTCAAAATCGCAGTGAAGATCCCGCCCTCGTACCTCGGAGCTCGGGGCTCGGGGCTCGGAGCGAGCCGAAGGCCCGAGTCCCGAGCAGGCTGTCGGAGGGCCCCTCAAAAACCACGCGCCAAGTGAAGAAGTCCGAGTCATCCTCAACGAAAAGGGGCAAAGAATGAAGCTGGAAGAAGCAGTAGCTGAACAACTAGATGTACAAATAGTAGAAATTGCAAACCTAAAAAAGAGGTTTGAAGTAGAAGTAGAAGCAAATCGTGAAAATCGCAAGGCCTCCAGGCCCACAGAGAAGCCGCAGCTCTCATCCTGCCATTGTTGCTGGCCGCATGCCGTCTCAAGTTGAAGCGCCTGGTCTCTTCGTCTTTTACTGCGGGATGGCAAGCTGTGATTGCCCAGCCGAAGACGGTCGTAGCTTCGAACCGGGCTTCGGAAACCCACAAACCAAAGCGTCCGCCTCGAGCTTCGGGCTCGAGGTCTTTCTCTCGCCACTTGGGGGCGGCTCCAGATCCTCTGGAGCAAAAAACGGCCTCTGCCGCTTCTGGCTAACTGTTGAGAGGGCCACTGAAGCAAGGTGCTTCAGCAACTCGAAAAGTCGCCACCCAAGCCAGGCCAAAAATGCATCTTGAAAGTTAAACCTCAGATGTGTTCTCTGCATTTCACCCTCCGTTTGAAACCAAACTTGGACCAGGAAAACCGAAATCACCCGATATGACAACTTGTTGTGCCCTTGCATCCATAAATTCCCCCTGAAAAGTTTGATATAGACTATGGATGTGTGAAACAAGAGGGTGAATTCTAACCACTATTCATACTCAAGCTGGACGGACCTCCAGCACGTTCCTGTCCAAAGTTGGGGTCAGGCAGGCAGGCAACCTCCTTCGCAAGAACCGCAAATTATTTTGAGTTCGTTCCAGTTTTGTCTATTCGCATCTAAATGCCCAACAATATTCCACCAACGCCAACTTAGAGACAACTACCCAAACCACATTCTCTGTAATGGTGCCCATTGCGTGTCTCATGTTCTCATAGAGCTCCTTGCCAGGGAGGCGGCCCCAAAGAATGCAGTCTTCCTCTTGGCTCCCCTTGCAACTGCACATGCAAAATATCCCTCAGAACCAACAGGAAGAATGGGTGGCCCGAAAGCATGACGTATAGCAATCGTGGCGCAATGTGGATGTCAAATGCGGTCTCTGCTTTCGTGCGCGATATGGCGCTGCAGGACAAATACCTTTTGAAGAAAGTGAATGTGCAAAAACTTGGGATGAATGAATGGCGAGCTTGCTCGTCGCAAGCGCTCGCGCGCGTTTGCCCGCGCGATTGTGCAAGTTGCCCGCGCAAGCGCTCTGTGGAAATGCTTGTTGAAAGTTGCTCTGCGCAAGCGCTCGGAGCTTGAAGATCTCCGCAAGTTGATCTGAGCAAGTCATCGGTGCTCAGTTTTTGCACCGACCGCGCCGAGCGTTGCGGGAACCGCCAAGAGTAGCGAAAGCCCTTAGTTTTTGCACATCGACCACGCTGATTCCCGCAAAGGTTGCGCGGGCAAATCCAAAAGTTGCAAAAGTCTCGTATTTGCGCAGGCGCCAGTGTTCGCAGTGCAAGTTTTCTCGTGCTCGTGCAGGCTTTCTCGTGCAAGTGCGCTCGTGCAAGTTTTCTCGTAAGTGTGCTCGTGTAAGTGTTCTCACGCGAGATTGTTTGTGCAAGTGCGCTCGTGCAATCGTTCTGGGGCAAGTCTGCTAGTGTGCTTGGGCAAAATGTCTTGTGCACTTGTGTTCGTGCGAGTTTGCTTGACTTTTCCCGGCATAGCCCTTTGCAATGCTTTGGGGACAAAGAAGAAAACAAACGATAAAACAGAATGGAACAGAAAAGACTGCAATTGACACGAATACCACAATGGAAAACATGCACTCCCGCATTGGTTTCTAGTTTCCAACTAACAAGGATTACCTGCCTGCGGTTGCTTGGATTCCCCGGTGCCACTCCAGCCCTCGCTAAACATCGCTTGGATGCGGCGAGTGAGCTTTCGGGGATGTCTTCACACCCGGTGTTGCCGGAATTCCTGGGCAAATTGAAAAAATGGTGAGGGTTTCTGGTGAATCCCTAGGATTTGATCGACATAATCCACAGCCTCATTCCAATTTGCTCAGTACATTGAATTCAGCCACTTCGTTGGGCTCTGGTCAAAGACTTGGTTAGATTTACGTGCAACCAAGGCGCTCACGTGTGTGTGATCGCCAACCTTGCATCATGCCCTATCCACGCTCGTGTCCCACACTGACTCCAGCATTTTGCTGAACGACCATGGCCCGCTCCGCAGCGCTTTTCAAAGCCCTGGAAACGCTAACATCCTTTCAAACACCCCAAAGGTAGCCCGACGGCTCATATTCGAAAAGGAACACATCCTACCGGGCATGTGTTCCTGGGACCATCCTGGAAGGCCTGGATGGCTCGGTGCTATGCCCAGGTGTGCAAATCCATCAACACTAGAGGCAAGCCACCCCCTTGGACTGCACGCGCGCATGCATTTGGGCTAGCTTCTCGCTCAGACAAGCTGGGAGGATGTCGAAGACCGTTCGGCCCAGTCTGTCCGTCTGCCTGCATGCGATATGCAAATGTACAGAGCCTTTGTGTAGCTGAAGCTTGGAGAGTCTCAGAAAACCTCAGTCTCGAGTCTCCCAGTCCAGCCACAGTTTGACCAAACCTTCAGGTTCGGTTTCTCTCTTCGATCGCAACAGCCTGAGAATGACCCCATATATTCACAAGATGCAACCTGCACCTGAAAACTACACGAGCCGTACATTTATGATTATGGAACTCACCCGGAAACAATGAATTGGACTAGAATCATGGAAAAATAAAAGCACAAAAGAACACGGATGGAAATCGCAATGACAAAGCATAAAGTGAAAATATGAAAGCAAAATGACGCTGAAACTATGATCGAAAACAGCCTCAAATGTATGGAACGCAGCGCAAAAAAGTGCAACGGTCAATCAAGTCATCCTTGACACTTGGAAATCAGCACTGAGACAATGAGAAATCACCCGATAAAAATGAGCATCACTCCCACATTGTTTGAAAAACAAATCACTCTAAACAACTGGGAATCGGCTCACAACTGGGAATCAGAACAAACACATGGGGTTGGGCAATTCACTTTTGTCTTTGACCATGCCGTCGTTTAGTGGTTCAACCTTTCCGCGGAGCCAACGTCCTCCTCTCAAAAATTTGAAGACTCCAACCGGCCTAGCCCTATGCGCCACGCCCTGAGCCCCCCTACGGCGCTTGAACCTATGCCCAACAGGAACCGATATTTGAGGTCACTGACCCATATGAGACTAGTGCAATATCTTCAAAAACATCCTTCCCTGAGAATCATAAATGGAACCCTCAAAAACTGAATCCATTCGGATCTCTCTCCCTAAGTTCGTCTCTGGCCTGACGTCGGCACCGAAGAAGAGCAGGAGCTGGACCATGTGCCAGTCCCTTGTCTTCACGGCCAGCAGCAAAGGGTAGCTCCTCACCAGCCCCAACCTCACTCGAAGCGGGCTGGATCCGGATGGATCCGAGCAAACAAGTGGAGAACAAATAGGCTTGGTTTTTGCTGTCTCTGAAAATGAAATCAAGAAAATCCAGAAGGGCTGACTCCCTGTCTTGCTGGAAAATGAAAAAGTGAACGTTTGTTTTGCTGGCTTTCAATGGGAAGAAATAAATCCAAAAGTGATTTCAAAGGGATGCGGAAAGGTGAGACGTAGGTCTGGCGAAGCAACGAGTAGGGCTTGTACGTCACGGTGTTCACATCCTCACGGATGGGCGACTCAAGTGGAATGGCCCTGGTGATATTTCCGCAAAAGGACATCTAGCCTGTGAAAGCCTGAGAAGCGAATCTGACCAAAGCTGGGAGAGACTCGGAGAGAGCCGTGACTTTCCCACAAAGCGGCCCAGCCGGGCTCAGGGAGCTGCTTCCTGTTTCCACAAAACCTATGTCCAACCTCCAGACTTTGGCCCCCGTCTTCTTCATCTCTTTTCGTCCTAGGTAGCCGCATACCTATCTCTGCGGTATCTGATGCTTGACTGGTAGGCAAAAAAGAACATACCATACCATGGAGGTCGGAAGCTTGACGAACAACTCGCTGTGATGGTTGGCATGTGCTCGCAACGCAGTGGTCTCGGAGCTACACAGCGCGGACCAAGGATGTACTAGTTCCATTCGTGTTCCAGCCTGGAAGTTGCGGTCTACGTTTCATCTCGAACTTATCCCAGTTTGGGACTCCATCGAAACTACTTCTCTTAAGGTGAGTGGCACCCTCCATTGACGCTCCTGCTGGAACCTTAAGATTGCAACGCGTTGAAAACAGGTCTGGGCCAAGCCAGCCGTTCCGCCACTTGAATGTGTTTTTTCAGGGTCCCCCTTGCTTTGAGGTTTGCTTGGGAGACCAAAGGATAACCACCCAATGTGGATGCAAATCCTTCTGGGCCACGTGGGTGTGCCTAGACCCAAACGGGCAACGGCGTTCCTTGTGTCTAAACTCTCTACCCACTTTCTACCCACTTCTTTCTTCTTTCCTGGAAGTTGTGGCGCTCCAAGAAGGCCGCGACCTTCTTTCGCCGCTTCTGGAGCCACTTCTCACGGAGGCACTCCTCCTGCTGCGCACGCCGGGCCTTCATCTGCCGCACCAAATCGCTCACGGCGATGTCCCCTGACGTCAAAATACGACAAAGTCCCCCAAGTCCAGATGCGAGACAAATAGAAAGAACTAAAAATAAAACGTACCTTACAAAAATCGGCTTTATTGAAGCAGAAGCCCATCCTTTCAAATTTCTATCTGTAGCTTCTGCAGAAATGTCCCCAGAGGTTGTCATTTGGTTTTTGTAAAGAAACCACAAGGAGATGGTCCCCGATCCGGCGACAAAACGAGCTCAGTCCATACAAATCACCCTCCGTACACGGTCCATATGTTGAACAAAAGAACAAGCAAGCAAGCAAACAAACAAACAAAATTTCAATGACAATGTTCTTACCGGGAAGATGAAACAAAAGAAAGAAAAAAACACTCCACTGCCCCGCAGATTAGCATGGAACAAAAAAGGCAACACCCATTACAAGAGGAGTCGTTTTTTGGGACACCCCTGCTTGGGGTCGGGAATACTCAGTTGAGACGACGAGAGCTGTGCCAGTGGTTCCTTGCATGCCCCGGCTGGACACTACATAAAAACTGGGAGCAGGAACAACTCCTGCCCATAAAGGTGAGGCCGACAAAAGAGAAGTTGCCGATTTGAACATCGTCAATTTTCAAACTGGAAATAGGGGGGCCTTTAGTACCTCCATTTGGGTTACATCAGACGGGAAATTGCATTTGAGGAGAAGTTGCGTGCCTTGCAAGGAGACACGAACAGGACTAAATAGAGAAGTGGTTTCTGCTCGAGGTCAAAAAGAATTCACTAACAAAAGTGTTGCTGCAATAACTTGGTGCGCGATTTGTTTGTTCTTCTTGTCCCCACCTTTCAAGCAGCTCACGGCCTCATCTCCCAGGCAAATTTTGCAGCGACCGCCCACCTGGTGAAATGTGATGTCCACAGCCATGCCGCTCAATGTCAAGGTGCTCGTGTTGATCTGTCAATCTTGAGCCAAACTGAAACAGCTTCGGCTCACCGTGTGCAGCTGTGTTTTGGTGTGTTGCGACAATCAGCGTCGAAGCGGCAAACGGAATCACCAAGGTTTCACGAAGCACATGAAGCAAACACGCGCCTTCATCAAGTTGACGAGCTCTTTTTTGAGCAGCTCCCGAGCCACATGCGCCATGGATACCTTACCCGTCAGTGCAAAAATGCCACGCGGGTGCCAAAAGCACACATTGTACAATCCGTGTGTGTGTTTGTGTGGGTGTGTGTGTGTACGCGTGCACGTGCGTGCGTGTGTGTGTGTGCTTGCGTGCCTGCGCAAGTGGGTCGTGTGGGTCTAGGATGTTCATTTGTCCTTTGACAAGGAAACCATTTTGCTGGTTGTATAAAAAAGTGGATGACCATTCCTAATAGCCCCAAGTGAAGTGGTGGAATGGTTTGATCGTCCCAGTGAGAAGATAGTTGAAGCCAAGGCACAGCCGCACAGCCGCAATCCGATCCTGGCCACCCTTTGAGCCGATCGGGCACTGCGAAAGAGTCGTTCCAAATGTCGCGTTCCAAATCTATTTTGAGTCTACGAAGCTGCGTTTCAAGAATGACGCCTTCCAAAAAGGACACTCTCCAAAGAACCGTGCCAAATGGTTTTTACCAAGCCCCCACCCCCAAAATGGAATAGTATGTATCATGTGACCAGGCAATGTTCTGCAATGAACACATTCAAAATTGAATGGCAAGGACAAATGAAAAGGACGTGAAAAGGAAATGAAAGGAAAACGAGAGGCACAGAAAAGAACATGAAGAAGAAATGATTGGGAGATGAAGGGACGGGACATGAAGAAGCTTGAAGGAAATGACGGGCACGGCAACAGGGTAACGTTGTTTCGACTAAGTTCAGACCTGTTAGAATCTTGATCACTGCTTCAGGCCGTAACGGAACATGCATCAAAAGACAAAAGAGTACGACCGACATAAGGTGCGCTCCGCTCCTTTTCTTTATGAGGCGTTGCTTGGAAGTCCAGGCTTGGGGGTGCAGGAGGAAAAACAATGCGTGTCCTTTCCCTGTGCCTGCCCCCATGCGGAGCCTGCTCAGATGTGCCCAGGTTAACAATGCGTGTTCAACCTGTTCACAGGGTGTGCTACCCTTGGGGTGTGAAATGCAAAAGGGTGACATTGAAATGCAACAAGATGCAACACGTGCAGCTTGTGTGTGATGATGAGGCAAGCGTCCTCAATCATCCGACCGATTCGAGGTCTTACACATGAAGCGAGGTGCGAGTTATCAGACCAATGCAGGATGCCAGGCGGGCAACTGTGTCCTGTCCTGATCAGTGCCAGATGCAATGAGGGCGCGCATGTTGTCACATCATGTGACTGGATGCAGAGGCAAATCAAGGCTTGCGAGCCTTGTGCTGGATGCTTCCACCTCAGATATGCAAGGGTGGGTGAGTGGGCGCAAAAAAGGGATAGAACCCTCAAGACATGACCCTTAAGAAGCTTGAAGCAGAAAACGGCAGTTCAAGTTCCCCTAAGCAACAGCCACACCTAGTTCGAGCTAGTGCGAAAGCGAAGCAGCAGTTTGTTTTGACACTGGCGGTTGCTGAAGTGAAGCAAAGGGGGGTCCAGCCCCTGAAGCCACTGAAGCAAGGAACACCCCCTTAGAAATCTGCCAGTGACAAAGCAAACCTCGCCGCCTGCCCCCCCCCTGAAAAACGTGAGGTTTGTCGCTCATGCCATTCACGGCTCAGCTGAAAAAGAAAAGCATCACGTGAAGAAATCATTCACAGGCGGACGCCAGGGCAACGCGGCTGTCGAAGGGTGCAATTCCACTGCTCTGTCACGAAACCACAGTTGTTGAAGAGTCAGAGGAATGCGAAGCCAGTCTTCAAACTGGTCTGGAAGCGAAGCCGCCTGGCCGTCCCATCTGGAAAGTAAGTCAGCGTGCTTCCCGGTAGCAATCCCGGGACTGGTCGGGGCGCTGGTTCACTGCCCCCATCCTGGACCTCCCTGCTGGCAGTGGTTGCATTGCGCCCGACATTCATAACGGTTGACCAGAACCACGTGCGAAGGAACCGGTGAGAACGCATATCACGGGGTCGAGCCCCAGCTAAGCCGACCTGCCGGGAGTCACACGCAACCGTAAACCTTGCCACATGCTGGGTGCCGACATGTGCGAAAACCAGGCCCGTAGTGCGGTTATTGCCCATCCACAGAATGTTTCCGGCAGCGCGCGCAGAAACCATTGTTGATTTGCTGTTGTAAACATATATATATACATAATGTGCAACACACATCACATGCACATATTGCATGTGATGCGTTATTGTGGAGCTTCAACAAGGACTTGTGTTGCGCCTGACTCAGCACTCTAAGAGCATGTCCATGGACCGGATGCAAAGGGCTTGAGCTGCAGGACTTCCAGGCGCACTGAAGAAAAGCTGCCTCTTTTCAACCAACCTATCGATCAGTGTTCCCGCATCCCACAGGATAGCTATCCTGGTCCGAGAGGATCTTTTCGTCTCCAGCCCGGTGAGCGCCTCTCCTTAGAATAAAAATTCTGTCCTGGTCTGAGACGGATCTTTCATCCTGGTCCGAGACGGATCTTTTTGCCTCTACCCCGCAGGTGAGTGCAAAGAAAAAAATCAAAACAAACCAAGGGAGATGAAAGAAGGTCAACCAGCTCCGACAGCTTAGCTGCGAACAAGCACGACTTTTTTTTCTGGGAGCAACTCTTCCAAACATTGCTCAAATCAAACCTAGAAAGCAATGAAAGACTGACAATTCAATTTGGCACATGTGCAGTCTGCGCAGGTGCATCTGCGAGCTCATCAGCAGCCACCTCCACAGCTGCAGCCCAAACAAAGTTGCTTCAAAAAGCAATCAAAAACACAAAAGGAAAAAACAACCCAGAAAATGATGGAAGAATGGCAAGGCACGCACCCACACGCGTGGCCGATCAAGACCCTGAGCTAGCTGGAGTGCGATTTCCCTGCAGCCCTGAATGTTGACCACTTAAAGCTGGGTAGAAAGTACACAACACCAAAAGTGCAGCATTTCAGCAGCCCAGTTGCGGGCGCACCCCCCCCATTGCGATCGACCGTGCTGACCACGTCGGCGAGTGGAATGCAGAAACCGTCATCGCAGGTCTCCGAGAGCATCGGGCTGAGCACTGCAGCTTCGGCCGGCAGATCAAGCAGATCCTGCTGACAAGAGCCCAAACAAGCATGCGTCAGGATCATACATCTCTGCTGCAACTTCCACATGGCAAAAAACTTCATAAAAGAAAGCAGAGCCGCCTCACTCGTGCACGATGGGACCCGGGATCTGGCCCTGCATCACCTCCATCTGCTTGACCACTCTGAGCAGCGCCGCCACCAGTGCTGCCCTGGGCCTGAGCCCCATCACCTCCACCGATCACGACCCCCCACCAGATCATCAACGGGATCGCAACGAAGGGTGGAGCCTGCTGCAACCATTCTGGCACACCGCCTTCAAGGGGAAGCTCAAAAAAAAGGAGTGAGTGAGTGAGTGAGTGAGTGAGTGAGTGAGTGAGTGAGTGAGTGAGTGAGTGAGTGAGTGAGTGAGTGAGTGAGTGAGTGAGTGAGTGAGTGAGTGAGTGAGTGAGTGAGTGAGTGAGTGAGTGAGTGAGTGAGTGAGAGTGAGTGAGTGAGTGAGTGAGTGAGTGAGTGAGTGAGTGAGTGAGTGAGTGAGTGAGTGAGTGAGTGAGTGAGTGAGAGTGAGTGAGTGAGTGAGTGAGTGAGTGAGTGAGTGAGTGAGTGAGTGAGTGAGTGAGTGAGTGAGTGAGTGAGTGAGTGAGTGAGTGAGAGTGAGTGAGTGAGTGAGTGAGTGAGTGAGTGAGTGAGTGAGTGAGTGAGTGAGTGAGTGAGTGAGTGAGTGAGTGAGTGAGTGAGTGAGTGAGTGAGTGAGTGAGTGAGTGAGTGAGTGAGTGAGTGAGTGAGTGAGTGAGTGAGTGAGTGAGTGAGTGAGTGAGTGAGTGAGTGAGTGAGTGAGTGAGTGAGTGAGTGAGTGAGTGAGTGAGTGAGTGAGTGAGTGAGTGAGTGAGTGAGTGAGTGAGTGAGTGAGTGAGTGAGTGAGTGAGTGAGTGAGTGAGTGAGAGTGAGTGAGTGAGTGAGTGAGTGAGTGAGTGAGTGAGTGAGTGAGTGAGTGAGTGAGTGAGTGAGTGAGTGAGTGAGTGAGTGAGTGAGTGAGTGAGTGAGTGAGTGAGTGAGTGAGTGAGTGAGTGAGTGAGTGAGTGAGTGAGTGAGTGAGTGAGTGAGTGAGTGAGTGAGTGAGTGAGTGAGTGAGTGAGTGAGTGAGTGAGTGAGTGAGTGAGTGAGTGAGTGAGTGAGTGATCAAGTGAGTGCGCGCTCCCAATGAAACATCACATATGTGAGAAATGCAAACATAACCGGTGCATGTGGTTCACATTGAATCATGGATACTTAGGAGTTGAAAGTTTAAAGAGTTGAGGGCACGCCAACAAAAACAGTGAACGTTCATAATGCACGAACCTGAAAAACACCAATGGCAGAGTGGTAAGATAGTCCAGGAATTTTCACCCTGTTAGGCAGACCATCTGCCCCAGCTCCGCCCCAAAAGGAGGGGGCATCTGCGGCGCCCACTGCTCCAGATTCGGCGGGGCGCCAGGCGAGGCCATGTTGCAAAAAGGCCAACTGCACTGATGCGCAGCGCGCGCCACATGCATGAATGTACATGTGCTAATGCCGTGCCAGCATGCACGTGTCGCGCATCACACACTCACTGCTGATCAATAATGGCATCGCAGACCAAGGTCCAACCCCCCGTAAATGACACATGCAAACTCGATCAGCATGCAGTCCTTGAACTTCCTCATGATGCACACCTCCAAGTCGTCCGTCGACCAGACCGCCCCAGTCCCAGTCTTCTCATGATGAGCAGCGTCCTGGGCGTGGCAAGCAAAAGGGCAATGATGAAAATGCAATCAATGCAGACAGAACACACCACCAGAAGTGCAACATTCAGTTTACACCGCTCATCTTGCACATCATCATCTCCATCCACCGCATCTAGGTCAGCGCCAGCCAGGAGATCCGCCTAGCGCAGTGCGCCGCAAATGAGATGGAAGTACTACGTGTAAACAAATGGCCTGCGCGATATCATGTTTGGCGTTTTGCCACGCAGCAACCATCGCATCTCCCTCCTCCACAGTGGCACGACTCATACATACATACATACATACATACATACATACATACATACATACATACATACATGCATACATGCATACATGCATACATGCATACATGCATACATGCATACATGCATACACGCATACATGCATACATGCATTACACACACAGCCAAGATCCTCCGCGTTGGGAAGATTCTCACGAGACCTGTCACGGAAGGGCCTCGCCCTGCCCAAGAAAGTGCTTGGGGGCCTTGTGCCCGAGGCAACCTACAGCAGCACGGCCCACCACTTCATGGACCTGCTTAGCGTTGGGGAACACAACTCCCAGCACAGGTCCTGAACGGGTGCACCATTCGGAT